GCAAATAGAAGAAACCCACCCATAGATGTGTATCTGACTATCTGTATAATAACTGTATATGGAAACAAAACAAAAACAGAGAATTGTTGAAGATCAGACCCCTTGATAACGATGAGGCCATCGCTGCCTCGCTTTGACGTCCGGAACAGGGGCACCAATGAACATATATTCATCCTCATTGGGTACGGAATCCTCCTCGATTCCACCGGAACCCCGCTCCTCCGCCGGCTCTGACCGGTCCACCTGCCTCCCTCTCTTATGCCGCCGAACCGGAGCTGAAGCTGACGAAGATGCTTCCCGTTTTGGAGTCATATGCGGAGAATTGGGGAAGTGGGAGAGAAGAACAATAGTGATCTGGGGCAATGCCAAGCTAAAAATGGTTGCGAAAGGAGCTTGGGAAAAGGAGTTAGTGATTTTTTAAGTTTATAAAATCCGCGGCAGAGAAGCGGGAAACCTTTATAATTTCCCTTTTTACGAAAATGACTAAAATAGTAAGATCCGAATCTCAATAAACAGAAATGTAATTAAATTTATATTAAATGTGTTTATATAATTGAGTGGATATTTTCAAACACATGAATGATGAATCTATCACAATTTCTTCTTTTAATAACCGTCATTAACGAAAGATACATTAATCGTCATTAATGATGAAAAATGATCCGAACAAGGTTGAGTTGTTGAAAGTGTATCATATCACAATTAAAATTTTAAATATTTGTATCCTTTAAAACTTTACTAAACTAGTGAACTTTTGTAAATGTAAAGAAAAATCATCAAAACCAAGCAGTAAAATATACTTCATCCATTCTTTTTTAGTTGCAACGGTCAACATTTCACACTTGTCAATGCACGTCTTTGACCGTAATTATATCTAAATCTCTATTAGTATAAAAATAAGATTTTGAAAATTTGTAATGAGATGAATTGAACAATATTTTAAAAAAAAAATTCATAAAATAATAATATAAAATATAGTCAAAGTAGAACATGTGAATAATGTAAAATTCAACGTGTTGCGATTAAAAAGAGACGGTGGATAGTATAAAAAATGAAAAAAGACAAAAAATATAATAATTTAGATTTTTGATTCAGAATTTTCAATCATTCAGACACTCTGCCGACTACTTTCATGTTTCATGTTCTAAATTAAGACAATCTTTCATGTCCAGCCATCCTAACGAGAACCGCCATACGAACGAGGGCAATTCGGGCACTTCTCAGTGAAAGTTTTTGATAATTTTTTTTGAACATGTTCTTAATTAAGTCTAGTTTACCTATACCAAATTTCAGTTAAAAAATCAATCGGGAAAGCAGTCAAATGTTTTTTTGAAAAATACTTGCGCTGTTTATATATATTAATTGCGCAGTGTTCTTAAACAATTATTTTTTACTGTCTTCTAGATTGAATTTTTAGTTGAATTTTCGTATGGTTAACTAGATTTGATGAAGAACATGTTCAAAAAAATTCAATAAAAAATTCCACCGGGAAGGGTCAGAAGTACCCTTGACCGGACAGAGGTTCCCGTCAGACCGGCTGGACAGGAAGACTACTCTCTAAATTGATACTACCTCCGTCCCATAATGGTTGTCTCATTTCAATTTAGCACAATTTTTAATAAAGTGGTTGGAAATGTAAAAGTTGTGGTAGAGATTCGAGTATAATAAAGTGAAATGTTGTGAACCACATATTTCTTTCCAAAAAGGGAAAGATGACACTTATTTTGGGACAACTCAAAAAGGAAAGTAAGACAGGTAAAATGGGACGGGGGGAATATATGAATATATCTAGAGATAAGTTAAAATTTTGAAAACAGAACAAAAAAGTTAATTAGACTTTCATTTTAGTGCATGTTTGGCAGACATAAGTCTCTGTCATCTAGTTTTTGTAGTGTTTAAAGAGTTTCTAAAAGTTTCGAGTTGTATGTATGACATGACAATTTTTAAGAGTATTTCAAAATTTAAAAGATCTTTTTTGAGATGTTATAGAGAGTGCGAAAAGCTTGCGACTTTTAGTATTAATTCGTGCTAACAACTTGTATACTAAACATAACTAAATCAAACAGTCAACTTTTTACCAAACAGTTATCATCTTTTCTTTATAAAATCTTTTCCCTCACAAAAAACTAATTGTTACTTAAAAGCTCACAAAAAGTATTTTTTAAATTAGATATGTGAAACAAGGTGAACAACATCAATAACGTCTATCAAATTTACCATTTCAATCATTTCACCTGACTTCGCACATGCCACACAGGCTCCATGGTGAGCTTGATTAATCGGTTGTGCTTTAAATATCTTAAGTCACATTATTAAATCAATAAATATAATTCCCACTGGGTGAAAATTTCAATGTACCTAGCCAAAATAAAAAAATCACGTTTATATATATATTTGAAAATCTCATCAATTAGTTACTTAATACTTCGTATGTTTTACTATTATACCACATATGGTTTGAACTTTGAATGATGAGATTCATTAATAGAAATTATTGATATTCTTCACAGTTTCACTTTTAAAAGAAACATCAATTAGGGATAAGACATAATGAAGAAACGAGGATAATATATGAGAATTGAGATATACTATATATACACTGAATCTAAGGATATTATATAAAATTATGCAAAGGGATAGAGTTGCCATTAATGAATTGAAACCATACTACGATTAGATCTAAATGGCTAAAATCCATTTAACTATCACGAGTCAATTGATTAATAAACTGTACAATCTATTAGTCCGTTTATTAGAAGTGAGTAGGGTTTGGGGTGGTTCAATATTTTGTCACTACCAAGACTGTTTAAACGGTACAGCTATATATATATATATGTTCTAACACTCATCTAAGTTTGAAATTATCTTCTACCATACTACATCAATTCGCCCTTCTCCGGAACCACCTCCTTGCGAGAAAGCAATTTGGGAATTTTTTTTATTTTCGTATTATTTTTCCTTTCGTAGTACTTATTTTTATTTCAGTTTGAGCATGTATAGTTGGAGTATTTTGATTTTTGAAGAACTTTTGATAGACAGTGCTTCGTTTTCATTCGTTTTAGGCTTCTTCTTGCCCGTTTTGTGTCTATCGAGTCAGGTTGATTTGTATGGTGGCTGACTCTAAGTTTATTCCTAGGACTAACTATCGGATCTGTAATAGCTTTCTAGATTTTGTCTTGCATGTTTGCTCTATATTAATGAAAAGCTGTTTTGATGGTCAAAAAAATGTAGGGGTGTTAGAATTTCAAAAGCGTGTGGCCAAATTCTTTTTGTTTTTTGCAAAAGATAACTTAATTCATATTAAAAATAAGAACCAGATACAAAATCGGCATATTAAAGGCTACAGAGCCTACACTTGGATGAAAAAGAATACACTTTCTTGAGCAGATTCGCATGCTCACTACTGATAGTGTGGTTTCTGATTTTTTTTATTTTAACTAGTTTTCATTGTTTAATTTGTTGTTGTGAAAATTACACACTTTTGATGTAATATTTTACTTTCCTAGATGTTTGTAATTTGTTTAGATTAGGATTATTATTTGATTAAAACAAGTCAAGATCATCCAAGGGATCAAGATTGGATCTTAAATGCTCAAGGAAAATGCAAGGAGGCAAGATAAAAGTTGATCTGAAAATTGCTATTATACCCGGTCGGGGAACAAGTGATCATGCAAGCATATTTTATGAAAATTTGCCTTGTACCCGATCGGGTAGACCGACATACCCGGTTAGGTATGATGTGATTTTGAAGCTTTCGGGCTATTGCAATAGATATACGGTCAGATATGCTATGTATCCGGCCGGATAACCTCACCAAAATACCTACAAATACACAACTTTTTCTTTCCGTTGTATATCCCTTATTCCATATGCTCTTAAGCCCGATTTAGAATAGTTTTTTTTATATTTCTTCATGTTTAGTCTCCAAATGAGGAGCTAAACTCCTTTATTTTTTGTTTTGCTCTTAAAGCTTGTTGAATATGAAGTTGTGAGTTATTTTCTTAATTTCTTTCCATGAATATTAATTCTTTCCCTTATTATATCTTTATATTAATGATCTATATATTAATGTTGGGGAGTTGCTAAGTGACAATTAATTAACACTTTGACAATAATTACTACTAGAAGCGATCAATGAGGCGATGGTTAATCATTGATGGTTTCACAAGTAACTTCGGGTTTTAATGCATAGTCTCAGGGTTAGTAATCTTAAGAGGGATTAATTTTGTTGGTTAAATCGAAACAATTGTGTTAATGTTATCACTCTCAATTAATTCATCATGGAGTTAAAAGATGAAATGTTACTATCAAGTCAAAGTGTAACTCCCCGCCCCGCAGGGCCCGAGGTAGTTACTCATACACACCCTCCAGTCCTCTAGTGTTGTCCTCACAAACCATCACTAGCCTTTTCCGCGTACTTTGCCCTCACTCGTGCACGCCCTGAAAAACTTACCAGGGGGTCACCCATCCTAAGACTACCCCTATGCAAGCACGCTTAACTTGGAGTTCTTAGATGATGAGCTCCCTTAAAAAAAGATGCATCTTGTTGGTATGAGTAGTACTATTAATTCGTTTAAATTAGTCTCAATTTTAAAATAATTAAATGTTATCCGGGTTCCCGGTTCCTCCAAATCGTTGATTGTTGCATCTGAAAGAGTTTGTAGGATTACAACATTCCCCCAAAACCATCTTCTCCGCATTCTTAATCTCCCTAACATAAAAGAAAAAATCATAAACTCTTGTCAACCATCTCCCCCCTCTAACATGAAACATACCTCTTTTAACGTTCATAGGAGTCTAGGAGAGCAAATGACGAAAGGGGTGATCTACATGACCATACTACTAATTCAAGGCAGAGCCGCAGATGACGACTTTTGGGTAACTACTGTCTTCGTGAATGAGATGGCGGGCATTGGAAATTCTACGCGAGCATCCACTTCATTATTCTGTACAGTCAATTTCTGTCTTTATAAATACAAATAGAAATTGAAATTGTTAGGTACTAAGAAGTTCACTTTATTCTCTCGTCAAAATCAAAATACATAAAAATGGCGGTTAAGTTTGGCTCCACACCAGGGAATGAAGCTGACGTGGCAGTGGTGTTGGTGCCTCTTCCAGCTCAGGGTCATCTCAACCAGCTCCTCCACCTCTCCCGCCTCATCTCCGCCCAAGGCATCCCTGTACATTATGTCGGATCCTCCACCTACATCCACCAGGCCACGCCCTCGGTGTCAGAGATTCAACCTCCGCCGCCGCCGGTTCTCGACACCACCACCAAATTCCCTTCTCATATGATGCCAGCGATGCATGTAAGATTAAATTCCAAGATCGGCACCATATAGTTATAAATAACCATATACTGACTGATAAATCGAGATTTAAGAATATTTGGATTCAATGATTCATGATAGATGAATTAACTAAAATAAATTTCTTGTCGTTTCTTTTGAAATTCTTGACACGTATAGATCTTTCCGTTATATTGTGTTGTTATTTCGTAGAGAGTAAATACATACTTCCGTTGTTCCCTTTTACTTGCAACAGTCAATATTTCACGTTTGTCAACGCAACCATTCATATCTTCCATTCGTTATTAGTAAAAAAAATTAAAAAAAAAACATATTTTGAAAATTTAGAACGAGAAGAATTTTTTAAAAAAATTAAAATTTTAATTTATAATACATTAATTAATAAAATATAGTCAAAATAGAATATGTGAATAGTGAAAAAAGTTCAATGTTACAAGCAAAAGAGAACATAGATAGTACATAGAGAGGTAGAGAAAAGATACATGTTCAGTATAGAACTCTAATACTCCGTACTAAATACTCAATACATATTCAACTTAGCATTCATCCAATTAAAGATCTAATGAAATCTGTTAATAATACTTGCTTCGTTCTTTTTTAGTTGCAACGGTAAACATTTCATACTTGCCAATGCACGTCTTTGACCGTAATTATATCTTAATCTCTATTAGTAAAAAAAATTAAAAAACAGATTTTGAAAATTTGTAATGAGATGAATTGAACAATATTTTTTTTTTAAAAATAATTTTCATAAAATAATAGCGTAAAATGTAATCAAAGTAGAATATGTGAATAGTATATTATATAATCAATAATATTAGAATATCAAGGATTACGTAGTACTATACTCCGTATTAAATAGGGAGTGTATTCTTAACATTTCAGGCAACAAAGCATCTCCACCGACCCCTTACTGATCTAATCTGTGGCATGGCAGTTTCCAAGAGAAAGGTAGTCGTCATTGCCGATGAGTTTATGGGTTGGGTGGTGCATGATTTGCCCGCCGTCGTACCCACGGCGGAGCTCTACCGTTTCCGTTGCCTCTCAGCTTTCTGCACCTCTTCTGACGCCTGGGAAGCTGCCGGAAAACCTGAATTCGGGCAGGTACCTCATGAATCTCTGAACTTCTTGCCGTCGAATGAGGGCTGTGTATCGCCGGAGTTTGAGGAGTTCATTGAATTGCAGAGTGGGTGTTGGGGTTTAAGCTCGGGGGATATTCTGAATTCCAACCGTGAAATAGAAGGACCTTTCATTGATCTTCTCGCAAAGCTTTCAAATAGATCCCAGTTTGCTATCGGCCCATTCAACCCGATTTCTCTCAGCAGCTCAATCGACGGCACGAATCGTCACAGATGCCTGAAATGGCTGGACGGGCAGGCAAAAGACTCTGTTTTGTTCGTATCCTTTGGAACGACGACTTCACTTTCCGGCGACCAAATAACAGAGCTGGCCGTGGGGCTGGAACAGAGCATGCAGAAATTCATTTGGGTCCTCAGATATGGTGACGGTAGAGAAGTTATGGTGAGGCCGGAGCTGCCGGAGGGGTACGAGGAAAGAACACGGGAAAGAGGGATCGTGGTCCGGGACTGGGCCCCGCAGCTGGAGATTCTCGGGCACGCGTCGACGGGCGGTTTCTTGAGCCATTGCGGGTGGAATTCGTGCATGGAGAGTATTTCGATGGGAGTGCCGGTGGCGGCCTGGCCGGTGCACTCCGACCAGCCGAGGAACGCCACGCTGATGACGCGTGGGCTGGGGATCGGAATCAGCTTGATGGATTGGGAACGGCGGGGTGAAGTAGTGAGACGGGAAGAAGTTGTGGAAGGTGTGAAGAAGCTGATGGCGTCTGCAGACGGGGATGAAATGAGGCGGAACGCCGTCAAACTGAGTGAGAGCGTGAAAAAGTCAGTCACTTCCGGTGGCGGCGGCTACAACGAGTTTAAGTCCCTCATTGCTCACATCACGAGCTAGATTTGTTTTTCAATTTCATGCAGAGTACTAGCAAGGTACTCGATTGCGCTTTGATTTTAAGACTATCCTAAAGAAATAAAGAGGATGCGTAGAAAAAATGTGTAAAAAAAAAGTGTACAAATAACTTTTCTCAAGTAATAAAGCAATTCAAACTAGTTACATTGCATGAGGTGGTTGTTGGAATGTAATCATAACAATGTACACACCCTATCTTGGCATTACAAAATTTTAGTATTGTCTAGTCTGAATTGAGTAGGTCTAATGTAGAATATGTGTATTTTATTATATAGTACTACGTATTTACTAAGGCGAGTATGGTTTAGTATCATTTGTTTAAGTTTAATTTGATTTAATCTTTTTAAATTTAATTTGGTATGAGACTGAAACGAAGTGTAAGCACACTTGTAAGGACGGGAAATAAACTAACCAAAATGATTCTAACAGATCACCCCAATGAAAAGCTACCCAACAAACATAGAGAGCAACATTAAAGACAAAGAAGTAAATCTACATTCCAAGACTAAACAACTACATATAGAGCAACATTAAAGACAAAGAAGTAAATCTAACATTCCAAGACTAAACAACCCCCCTCAAACCATATACATTGAGGAAGTACTTGAAAGTAATAGAAAGTAATCATAAACACTCTAAAGAGTTGTAAATGAAACATGACGAATGTAAAAGTCAGGAAAAAGGAGTGCATTATCACGAATGACTACACAACTCATGGAGGAAAAAGGAGTAATAACTTTGAACTGCTTTCATTTCGTAGCACTGACCTAGACCTTTAGGTGAATGAAGAAGGAATCATTGGAGGAAACAATGCACAGACTTATATATGAATATCTATTAGATAATGATAGATTAATACAACTGAATATGACAAACGAGGTCAAACTATAAGTTTATGAAAAAAGATCACACGTGGCAATAGATAAAACAATGCAAGAGAATGTACAAAACTACTCCCTCTGTCCCATATAAAGTTTCCCACTTTCTTTTTTTAGACGTCTCATATAAAGGTTCTCATTTCTATTTTAGGAAAAAATTAACACTTTTAAATGACAAGCTAATCATCAAATATTAAAAATAATACTTATTAAGACATCTATAACATGACATTTATCACCATTAGCCCCATTATATTATATTCTTGTCAAATTTATTTCTAAAAATGTACATCAATTGTCATATTTAATTATTGTCTAAATAAAAAGAATTGATATTTAATCAATGTGATACAGGGGGAAATGGTGTGCAACTTGTCTACGATAGCTTTGGAGTCGTGACCTTTCGTCTGCGAGGTTAAGGTTGTGAGGCAGTTTAGTCCAGCGGTTGTAATCGAAAAAAAGACATGGAGGGGGAGAGTGCAGGGGCGTTGCAGAGCCGACGGCCTGATTCTCTCAAGGAGATGATGCAGGGTGGCGAAAAGGGAACTGGGATGCGGTAGCTCTGAGGCGGTTGAGGGGGCAGGGCGGGTCAGGGGAATGACGGTGAGGCTGAAGGCTGGAACATGATGGGGCGTAGGGGTGGACTCGGGCCGGTTCGGGCCCGGTTCGGGCCTGGGCCCGGCCGGGCCTCGGTTCATGAAAGGGGAGGCCCGGAACCGGCCCGGGTAACCCTCGGGTCCGGTTCGGGCCGGGCCGGGCCGGGCCTCGGTTCAACTATATTTTTTTTTTTTGGCTTTTCCTAATTAACCCCCAACCCTCCCCCCTCACCCCCAAACCACCCCAAACCACCTCAAATGGCCCAAAATACCCAGCCCAACCCAAAAACTTAAAAAAAAAAATCAAAAAAAAAGAAAAAAAATAAATAGACCCGGATCGGGCCCGAACCGGCCGGGCCGGTTCACCTTTTCAAGGGCCCAAGCCCGGCCCGGAACCCCAGCGGGTCGGGCCTACCCGGACCGGGCCGGCAGTTCGGGCCGGTTCAAACAGTGACCGGGCCGGTTCCGGGCCGCCCGGCCTGAGTCGACCCCTAATGGGGCGCCGACTCCGAAAGGTAAACCGGCAGAAGTGTGGGGCAGAGCGTGGGGCAGAGCGTGGGGCAGAACGAGAAGGAATGCTCCCTGTTGAAGCAAGAACTACCATGTATGTGGATTATGAGTCTTAAAAAACGGGAAATGTGGCGAGCCAAGGAATCGTGGCTCGCCAAGAAGACTATTAAGCAGGTCAATACAAAAGATATTAGTTATTATTATCTTTACTTTTCGCTTTTGTTTTTTTGTTTACTATGTCGTACTCGTAAACCGATACCTAATTGATTCCCTCAAGATACCGCTTTTGAAAATTGGATGCAAAGTCTAATATCGATAAAAAAAATGGGATGCAAAGTCAAATCCTCCTTCAATTATTCTTATTCATGGATCTAATTGAAAGTTAAAATTTCTTAACACCTTGCATCTTTTTGGCAAAATGCCACCTACTTCAAGCATATTCAAAATTATCAACGGTTCATATTAGATCTACTCAAAAGAAACAATGCTTATTGCAAAATTAGTTCTCAATTTAAACTTGAACATTAACGGGTTGTTCATGAACTGGAAGGAGTGGAACTGTGGAAGCAATGGGGACATGGGGTCAAGAAAGCTATTTTTAAATGGGCTGATGAAGAGACAAACTTTTGCATGTATAAGTGATTTTTGAAGACATCAAAGTCTTGTTAAGGGAAGGACAACTGGACAACACAAATGTTTTACCCATTGGTGCATCATATCAGAGAATAAAACTTCCGATGTTCTTGCTAGAGCAGCTCTTTTTATTTACTCCCTCCGTCCCGGAAAATTAGTCCCATTTTGACTTGGATCGGATTTTAAGAAAAGTTATAAAATGCTTTGACTTTCCCAAAGTGCCCCTAAAGTAAAATTAAAGCAAAAGAGCAAAAGGAGAAAGGAATTGCGGCGGGGGGGGGGGGGGGGATTTACTGCACCCAAACACTTTACACTGTTCATAACAGTACCCATTCGTACTACACCCCTTTCCCCCCTAAAGTTCCCTCCTTTTTTTGGGAAAGCTTCTAAATTAACCCTATCTATAAATACACATTCCAAATGTTCCCTCCCTCACAATAATTCACTACACACTATCACACACTTCATGCAGCATTTATGGACGCAAATAGCAGTGGCGCCCAGACAACTTCTTCCCCCACTGCAGCTTCCATTAACGAAGAGTTGTCTTCAGGTGCAGTGAATGCTCCTTCCTCACCAACTGCCATAAATGAAGCCCTGCACACACCAACAAATGGCCAAAGCTCAAATATCAAAGCAAGAAGACTACAAAACTGTGAACGAGAGAGTATAGTTGATGAAATTCTAATCAGTGCAAGAAGAATAGATTCTGGGGAGGTGATAGCTCAGCATGGTGTTCTAAATCAGCTTGCCACTAAATATTCAGTGACCAGAAAAACTATTTTCAGGATCTGGAGCAAAGCCAAAGAGCAGATTCAAAAGGGGGAAGCAATAGATGTCAAAACCAAGTGGATGGGAAACTCAGGCAGAAAAAGAGTGTTGTTTGATGTAACCAACATTTCACAAACCCCACTGCACAAAAGGACTAACATAAGGGCACTTGCTTCGGCCAGTTCAGTTTCAAAGTCAAGTATTCACAGATTGGTTCAGAGAGGTGTACTTAGAAGCCATACAAATGCTATTAAGCCTTTGCTAAGTGATGCAAATAAAATTCACAGATTGATGTTCTGTTCCAGACAAATAGACAAATCAATTCCAGGAAATCCAGTATTTAAAAATTTCCATAATGCGATACACATTGATGAGAAATGGTTTTTCTTGTCAAAAACATCTCAAAGATACTACATGGCACATGAAGAAATGGATCCACATAGGGTATGCAAGTCTAAAAGATTCATAACCAAGGTCATGTCACTAGGAGCAGTGGGGAGGCCTTTGTTTGCAAATAATGGAGAAGTGATATGGGATGGTAAAATAGGCATTTTCCCATTCATTGAGAAAGTGGCTGCTAAAAGGAAAAGCAAGAACAGGGATGCAGGGGTAATGGAAACCAAACCTGTACTGAGCATAACAAAATCAGTGTTTAAGGACATGCTTATCAAAAATGTGTTGCCTAGCATCAAGGAAAAATGGCCACAACAGTTAAGTAAGGACATTGTAATCCAACAAGATAATGCAAGGCCACATATCCTAGATTCAGACCCGGACTTTATGGCTGTCTCAAAAGCAGATGGGTTTAATATTACCCTAACTAACCAGCCCCCTAATTCTCCTGATCTTAACATACTAGATCTTGGGTTCTTCAGGGCAATTCAGTCTTTGAAAGATCAACAAGCACCTAAGAATGTGGATGAACTGTTAAATGCAGTGGATGAAGCATTCTACCATCTTTCACCCACCACTCTAAACAAGGTTTGGTTAAGCTACCAATATGTGATGTTAGAGATTATGAAAGTGGAGGGGGGGAACAACTACAAGCTACCACACCATGCAAAAGACAGAATGATCACAGAAGGCAGACTACCAACAAGCATAGAGGTTGCTGTGGAGTTACTAGAAGCCACAGAAGCTGTTTTATCCCAACAACAGGCTACTAATGGCCAATTCATCCATGAAGATGATGAGGACTAAGTCATCTTCACTAATGAACTCAATCCATTAGTTCTGAAGGCATGTTTTTTGATTTTTTGTAAATGCCTTTTTTTGTCATAATATTGAGGCCTATATTTTTGTAATTTTGTGGAGGCCTAAGAAATTTGGAATGTTTAGAGGCCTATAATGCTGTAGCATAACAGACACCTTTCTCAAGCCTTATGGCTCTGTTATTCAGTATAGCAGCCTCAGACAAATCAATGCTCAGACTATATTGTCATCATAGCAGCCTCACACAAAACAATGCTCAGACCAATAAGGTCATCATAGCAGCCAACAAAGCTCAGACCAATAAGGTCATCATAGCAACCAACAAAGGTCAGTCCAATAAGGTCATCATAGCAGCCTCACATAACCCTTACCATTCAGTCCATTAAGGTCATCATAGCAACCTCACATAACCCTTACTACATAGATACCAATCAACAATGCTAAAACCATATATGCATCATAACAAAGAGATTTGAGTATATAAGAACACCATATAATCATCATTGCTGGCCCAGAATCAAACACATCTACACACACAACATACATGTAACACAAACCAGACAACAATTTCCGAAACATACCAACATACAGATTTGCAATGCAAAATAGATAAAGAAACAAACTCCCCTGTTAGGCGTTAACGTCCCACATCCTCGATTCTCAGCCGGGTAGGATGAGTTTTAAGAAGTCCTCTAGACCAGGATAACGAATGTACTCCATTCGAACATCCTTCCTTATTTTAGCCCAAGCATCACTGTCCGGAAGCTGAACCTCCACCGCACCTCCACCGACCTCCTCCTCTGCCTCCTCTTCACTCTCCGGAACCACTAAGGTCATCATAGCTCCACCGTCCTCCTCCTCTGCCTCCTCTTCACTGTCCGGAACCACTAAGGTCATCATAGCTCCACCGTCCTCCTCCTCTGACACATCTTCACTGTTCGGAACCACAGGCTTATCCGGACCTTCACTGTCTTTGATCTGGGACTCCAAAATGCTATCCGGAACCATAAGATCCGCCATGCATTCAGTGCATGCAGGTAGATCTTCCATGGTATTCGGATTTAGGGATTTGATTTTAGGACAGACGGTTAGATCAACAGATAAGCTAGGGTTAAACTGGAAATGAAATCAGAGAAGGAAATAAAGTTCAACGAAATGAAGAGTGCAAGAAAGGGAGGACAAATGGCCGGAATAGTGTAAGACAGAGGTGAAGTGCTATCGCCGGAGTAATGAAGGAGTGAGAGGAAAGTGGGTGGGAATTGTGTTGCGGAAGTGGTAACGACAGAAGGTGAGAGAGCGAATAAGTGAAAATGATAAGGATAAGTGTGGGAGGGTAAAGAATAAGGAGGGGTAAAATGGGTTTTTAATTAAAAAAATCTTTCTTTATTTAGTAAGTGGACAAATTTTTTGGGACGTCCCAAAAAGGAAAGTGGGACTAATTTTCCGGGACAGAGGGAGTACATTTTTATGTTTTCTATGTTCAATTTTAACTTGTTTTTCATTTATATTTTTATGTTTTCTATGTTCAATTTTAATTTTTTTTTTATTTACATTTTTATGTTCTCTTTAGGAAGAGGCCGAAGAGCCAAGAAGTAGAGAAGGAAATAGGCAAAGTTGCCTATCTACATAGTCTGTTAAGTCAGTTTAACCTTACCCTGAAACCCATCTAGCTTAACTTGCGAAGAAGTTAAGTACCGGAAAAGAAGCGAGTAGAAAGATCTCCACCGAGGGAGAAAGGTTCGCTCAAATTAATTATGGTTTACATGCATGCATGTTGGCCCGTTGGATATAGCGTGGGGGCGTGGGGTTATAATAAAAAGACCTCTTACACGCCCGAATACACAAAAGACCTCTTACAGGATTGCAAAGTATAACTATATGACAAGGGAAGCCTTGATGCGCCAAGACAGTGATTTTCATAACTATAAATTTTATTCAAGTGTCAAGAAATTTCTAAGTTATACTTTTAGGGAATGATATCCTAACCCACCTAAACAAGGATGAATTGAGAGGCAGATCTTTTGCAGCACAAAAGTCCACCTTTCATCGAACCCCATTTGGGCAAACAAAAAAAGATGATAACTGTTGAGATTTCTTGTATCAGGTGAGAGCTACTATTCTACAACTCCACTACTCTAATTAGGGCGGCATGATAATGATATCCCTCAAGATACCGCCCCATCATCTAAGTAATAGTTATAGTGAGACATTGGGCCCCTACTATTTTACAATTTGACCACACAAACCCAGTAAAATAAAATAGAGTTGACTCCCCAGATGGCCAAAATATGTTCAGCTCACTGTTCGTCCATAGCAGACACAAGAAAGATACAGATTCTTTGCCCATTTTTCCTGCACCAAACACATAAATACCCATTACATTCTTATCCATGCCTCCATCATGTTCATTGTGTAATGTACCACATCCGTTTTCAAGCATCTAAAGACAAGCTAACCATGTGCCTAATTCAGTTTTGAGTCAGCACGGTTTACTTATGTGTCTTCTTTAAAGAGTTAATCATATTTTTATGTGGGTACACTTGAAGGTTCTTTTCCTCCACTCTCAGTCATCTTTGATCCTTACAACATCACTTGATTCAAAGATAGCCAAATATGTTTTTTAAACTTTAAAAAAATTAAAATAAGTATACCTTGACATGTGAGCTAGGAAACTGAGATGTACGCAGAGTTTCTTGAGTCTCATCAACAGGTATGCGTCTAGGCACACTCAAGATAAGAGCAGCCTGGTCCATAGTAGCAGCGGTTGATGTAATTCGAAAACCATTGTCCCATCTCTGGTGAATACCCTCACTCGGATAAAGAAAATCAAGCTCAATTGCCTGTATAATGAAAAACATAACAAAAAAATAGTATCATAAAATTGTTTCATACGTAGTTTATAATAAGAAAAGATGATGTTGCATCCATATGAGGAAGAATCACCTGGTCACTGAAACCTGAATTGCGAGACATCACAACAGCCCACTTGCTACCAGCAGTGGCCATGGAGGTCACATGAAATCCTTCTTTCCACTTCTTACTTATCCACTTGAATGGAAAGAATTCACTCACTTTGTATGATTGTTGAGAATACTGGGTGCCTGGAAAGATATACATGCATAAAAAAACAAAGGGTTTTAGAAAGTGGTAGTAAACTATCTACTGTGGTACAAGGTAACGTCTACCTAGAAACATGATCCATTGATCTTGTGATTGTTTTTCACCCTTACTGCTATTTACTAACACACTTCTTGTAGCTCACAAGTCATCTTACTGGATCTACTAGTGACCGTTCCTAGATACTGGGAGCTCTACTCAAAGAGATCTTCAGCAGTATAAAAATCAATGCCTAAGACATCTTATCCACTACTCACAATTCAGAGAAGCTTGGTTTATATTTCTGAAGAAAAAGCATGACACATTAATCATGTTTCGCGTCTCAAGGGTATCAATGTAACTAATCTTATATTACTGATACTGTAAATCTCATGCAACCAGCCTCAAGCCCCCAAAACAGTTGGGATTAAGAAATAAAATGTTCATGATCTCTATGCAGGTAAACAAATCATTAGTGTGTATACACAAGCTAAACCAACCTTTTGACATCACTACAAGTGAGCTCCCATTATTAGCACCAGCAAGGGAACTGATATAATAGCCCTTCTCCCATTGATCCATAACCCAGTCCTATTTGCATTTACAAGGAAGATTACAGTATAAATTCGCACAGCAGAAAACTGCAAAAATAAAAAAATAAATAGGGAAAAGTGCCGGAAAACTATCAAATAAGCTCTCGAACTTGCATAAAAAGTGCAGATCACCTCCTTATAAAGGAGGTTTTGTACGACCGTCGCCATTTGGGGCGGTTCCCGGTGGAATTTTTTGATGAAATTTTTTGAGGATCTTCTTCATTAAGTCTAGTTTACTCATACCAAATTTCAGCTAAAAATTCAATCGGGAAGGCAGTCAAATGAATTTTTGAAGATAACTGCGCAGTTAAACAACGCAGTACATTTCAGAAAATCATTTGACTGTCTTCCCGGTTGAAGTTTTAGCTGAAATTTAGTATGGGTAAACTAGACTTAATGAAGAAGATGCTCAAAAAGTTTCATAAAAAAATTCCACCGGGAACCACCCCAAATGGCGACGGCCGGACAGAACCTCCTATATAAGGGGGTGATTTGCACGTTTTATGTAAGTTCGAGGGCTTATTTGATAGTTTTCCCAAATAAAAACAAAAACAAAGTGCTTGCCTTGTGTAAGAATAATGGATTTAGCTCATAAACTTGGCTTGAAAAGTGAGTTCCAGCATCCATGATGATTGCCCATAAGTTGGAGCAGGAAGCTAAACAACTGATATACAATCCATCTTCACGCCCCTTATCGATATGTTGTGACAGTCTTTCATCTGCTACATTGTAATGGTACCTAAAGCATTATTTAGATAAATTATATATTGAAGAGAGTGAACTATAGGCTGTGGAAAATCACTTGTCATCATAGAAGTAAAATAAAAAGACTAAAAATGAAGCACCAAAGATCATTTTAACGAAGAAACAAATGCCAAATATATAGAACTAGATTTCTTCAAACATGGTGCATCTAGGGGTACAACTAAAACGACTTTTCACCATACATGCGTGCTTTTATGAGTCAAGTCAGTAAACTTGTGTTTCCCTATGACTAAAAACACTTAATCTCAACCATTTGTTGAAGGTGATCTCTTATATGAGTATCATCTCAGATTGTTGAATACTTCACCAATCATCCTCAATCACTCAATCTCATAAAAGAAAATCAAATAAACTTCATAGCCCCATACAAATTACAAAATAAAAGATGTGCCACCACATTGAGTGGATTCCTATTTCTTACCTATGGGAGAACTACTTAGAAGTGGGGTGGCCACATAAATGTTTAGCTGATAAATTTCAAGTACTAAGAAAGAAAATTGTGTATAAGACAGAAATATCAACCTCTGTTTCATGGGCCCCTTTGCATTGTAAATTGAAATCCACTGGGTTGCAGGAAGTCCCATTCGAACTTTCTTCTGCGGCTGCTCTTCTTCTTCGTCACAAGCAATCCTGGTCCTCTTTTGACCAACTTGAATAGCCTACGATCAATATATAATGAGATCACAATAGCTAATATAGACATGGGTTTCCTTCTGTCCCTATATAATTGTGCACTTACCTGACACAAAGTTCAAGAAAACCAAATATTTGTGGTTCAAATTCATTTAGAAGAACAAAAAATATGAACCACGTCTTGCTTTCCTTAACAGAGAAGTGGGATAATTTAGGGACAGATGGTAACAGAAAAAAGCCAGTGGCCGGGAGCAAAAAAGGAAGAACTAAACCTTCTGAGCACCATCCGTGTTTAATGGCCTTATAGTAGGATCAGGTCCAAGCAATCCCGAAAAGAGAGATATTAGCTTAGAATACTTTGGTTCTTCATCAAATTTCATGTTTATCACAGTATCGAGAAACTCTCTGAGAGGTGCTGGGCAAAAGCAGCAAAGCAACTCAGAAGATGTTGCCATCTTTTTCTTGCATACCATAAAGGACTTGTTGTCTCCCTAACATGTACAGAAGATAACTTGTGGAAGTAAGTTTAGCATAACTAACAGAATAAAACTTTCTCGGATTTATAGAGCGATAGGCATCAAACAAAAATAAGTGACAAAACGTACTTGATACCCTTGCCACGGCAGCCTGCCTCGATGAAGAAAAATGAGGGTATAAGCCAATGACTCCAAATCATCCCTTCTACTAGCAGTTCTACCCAGGTGAGCGTGTACACTTGCATATCTTACAGTTCCTCTACAAATTATGCACAATATAACTCATGTCAGGAAAACAGAACGAATCTGCGTGTTCTGGGCAACAAATGGTATACTTCACCTGAACATGTCAGGGCGTTGATCATATTTGACATGACCCTTTGAATTATCTTTCCATTTTGTTGCTGCAATTTTAATATCATGTCACAGCTATGAAAGGAATACCAAAACAGACACCACGAAGACATAACTAAAAAGACTATGTTACCTAAACCCAAGTCAACAAGGAACAACTTCTTCTCTTGCAAGGTTGATGGTTGGCCAAGAAGGAAGTTCTCAGGCTTGACGTCTCCATGTACATAACTAAGATAATCACAATCAATTGGACAATCAAACAAAAATTAGGACCATACATCACCTCCATGGAAATCAATCAACATCTAAAGCATTATACCCTTTTGCATGCAGTTTCTCTAAGATCGACAACGACTCCACAGCAATACAGGCTACCATTTCTGCAGACATCCTGGAAATAGAACATAGACAAGATCATCAAGGTTCATAACTAACAAGGACCTAGAAAAAGAGAAAATATCCGGGGTAGTATTTTTCAAGGAATATAAAGCATTGGACCTTACAATTTAATGAACAATATAAAAAACGCAATCTAAAAAGTACAACGAAATGTAATGCCCTCCAACAGGAAAATTCAAATTCAATTTAATTAAATCAAATCACCATAAAGTAAAATGCACATAGATAAAAGAACAAAAATGCACCAAAAACAACAGAATAATAGAACTATTACAGACAATATAACAAATATTATATATATATGTGTGTGTGTGTGGTAGAACATTAAAGTGGGATACTAGAATATTTTGCACCACATTTGAAGGAAAATCCAGGTCAAATATTGTTGTAGAAGTATGAGAAGGACCTTGTATTGCAAATTTGCAACCAAAGAAAATCAAGACAAAAACATCCATACTCTCTTCTTAAAAAAATTGTTTTCTTTTACTTCATGCCAGTGCTTCCAATTATAAGAAATGGCTCGTTTACGGGTAAGGACTAAGGAAAAATCTCAAGTCCAAATAATCTTAGATGATTATGTTAAATACCCACCATATTCTCTCGAAATCATAAACAAATCATCAAAAGATTAATTTTCCGATTAGAAGAAATGAAGAATATTGGATACTTACGATTGTCCGGATGAATTCCATACATCCCATAAGCTGGGCCCTAGCATGTCCATAACCTAAATATAGTCCAATTTCATCAGTATGTGCAATCATACATAAGATGAGGAATATGTTAGAATGCTGGAATGAACCACGACAGATACTTGAAACTGTCCCGGAGCAATTCTTTTAAATTCTTTATTGTTTAGTCATTGACTGCATATATGATCATATGAAGAAGTGATAAACACACACTACTTTTCAGGAAAATCATACATGGTCATTTCTGTGTTGCAATTTCACCAATAGTGGAATGTCAACGATAATATTATGCCGAAGCGTAAAGTAGTTGAGTGACTTGACATACCATTATGTAGTAGTCACCTTGTTTTCCTTTATGATGTACTTTTGGCACACCATAGCTGACACCAATATTGCTGCTCAGCCAAAAGGATAAAAGATGAAGTTTTAGTAGTTCAGGAGTGTTATGTGTATTCAGAAGAACGAAGTACTCCTACCTGTATACTTGCCATTCGTGTGGAGGCCCATAGCTACATCCTTTGCTATTTTGGTGCTCAAACTTCAGGGCAACCTCTGTGGCTCCTGCGCCACTTGTTCTTTCATTTCCACCAGAAAGACGGCGCCCCATGAAGACTTGACCAAAGCCACCTTTTCCCAACTTCTTTTCAACTTTATAGACAGGTGACTGCCCAACTCGCACCTGAAAGTTGCCCCAGTATACATAAAAATGAAACATATGGCAAGTACAACTACAAGCATACACTTACATATTGAGAAATTCAGAAAAAATACCTCATCAGGGAAGGGAGTAGTGTTCCCCTCATCCTCTGCAGTGTCTTTATTATTGGCACTCAAACCACCACTCTCATCCCCCATCTCCACCTCTTCTTCTGCTTCCTTTCTTTAGACTCTCCCTTTTCCTTCTTCACAGCAACGGATGCTTTGGATGTCTCCCCCCTCGGCTTAAACTTGTGCTTTAGCCTTGGCTGCTCGGGTAAGTATTCCTAACTTCTAAGGCTTCGACTTTCCCCTTAACTTCGTTGTCTGAAGATTTTGAGACGACTCTTGCACTGGATCCGGCTGTCTCTTTAGCTGCTAGCAGAGAAACGGTGAGGGAACAGTCCCCTCCACCCCGCAACTACTGCATCCTCTACTTTCCATGCACACCGAACAACAACGCAGAGAGCCCGCGATAACCATCACTGCTGCTGAGCAATTACACAATACAAATCGTGGGGAAATGTACTCGAATTTTGAAACCGTGAAAGAAAGGTTAAGTGTCTGAAAATCAAATATTCTAACCGAGAGCGAATCGTGGGGTTATACCTAGGTGGAGTTGAACTTAAGATCAAAGAAGAGAGGTGTATATAATTGAAATTGAGGTAGTTTTGATGCTAGGGTTTGCTTCAAGAGAGGAGAAATATGAAGACATGAAAATGAAAATTGTTTGAAGTACAGAACACGCAGCAGCTGTGGCCGTTTTAGCTCTTAGACGATGGAACAGGGTTACATAGGATATTTATGTCGAGCCTCGGGCTCGAGTGCGCGCAATGTTTCTGGCGTAGTAGGTAAGCCGTACCCAACAAAAAGAAATTAACAAATACGGAGTAAGGAGTAATATCTTTCCTCCTTTAATTCTTGAAACTGTTTGACTTTCACGTTTGGTAATGTATAATTTTGATTTTAATTATATTTAATTATGTATTAGTAAACATTATAAAAGTAATTATTGTTATGTTATGGTAAAAAAGATTTCTACATTAACAAATATGAGTAATTATTGTTATGTTATGGTATTATCAAGCATTAAGTATTGTAATTGTAATATTATCTAAGTTTGACAATAATTACTTCTTGTAAGGATCTCACATCGATCAAATATGACTTAATCAATGGGTTATAAGCTAGGTTTCCACTCCTCCTAATGGACTAGTCTTTTGGGAGTGAGTTCTACACATCGATTATTATCATACTTGGACCATACTAATGTCGTAAATCTAATAATAGAACTCACTCCCAAAAGACTAAGGGAGTGTTTGCGATTGCTTCAACTTTAAAAAAGTGATTTTTCAAAGTGATTTTGGGAAAAGTGATTAATAGTAAAAGTTGGTAGTGTTTGAGAAAAAAGTGATTCTGAAAAAGTAAAAGTTGGTAGTGTTTGGTAAAATAAGTACTTCTTGTGTAATAGAAAAAGTGAGAAGCAGTTTAAAGCACCCTTCTACCTGCTTCCAGCTTTTAGCTTTTAAGTGATTAATTTAAGCAGAAGCTATCATTTGAAAACACTCTTTTCAACTTTTTTTAAGCCAAAAGCTGAAAAGCGCTTTTTTTAATCAATCCCAAACACTCCTTAACTCATTAGGAAGAGAGGACATCTAGTTTATAAACCACTAATCAAACTCATAATTGATCAATGTGGGGTCATTACATCTATTGTTATCATACTAGACTCATACCAATGTCATAAACCCGATGTAGAACTCACTCCTAGAAGACTAGGCGATTAGGAGGGGGCACCTAACGTATAAGCCGCCGATCAAGTCCATACTTGATCGGTGTGAGATCATTACAATACCCCCACGCGTCAAAGAGACAACGTCTTCGTTGGTCACATTTGGCACCCTCAGTGCACAAGCCACCACTGTATAAGCCACCACTCTGAGTTTCAGGACCGGGAAGATGCATGGGGACGACTTTGATACCAATTGTTACCATACTAGGCCCATATCAATGTCATAAATCTAGGTGTAGAACTCACAGCCAAATACTAGTCGATTAGGAGGATGGGACACCTAACTTATAAGTCATCGATCAAGCTCAAGATTGATCGGTGTGGGATCGTTACTAACATAGTTCTTCCTCAAGAATTATTGGGGAAGAACTATTATTAAATAACTAATAAAGCATTTAGGTGAATCCCGATTGCCTTAGTAATTCTCATTCTAGTTTAAATCAACCTCAAAGAACAAAGTTCTTGAAAAAACTATATTTATTTATACTCTTTTGCATTCAATACTCGACTTATAATATCAACCATTTCCCTGTGGATTGACCCGGTATTTACCGGTATTTTATTACTATATCGGCACTTGTATACTTGCAAATGATTAAATAAAAGTTGATAGTGTTTGAAAAAAAAGTGATTTTGAAAAGTAAAAGTGGGTAGTGTTTGGTAAAATAAGTGTTTTTTGTGTAATAGAAAAAGTAAAAGCACTTTTGACGCAGAAACCGAGAAAAATAAAAGTTGTAGTGTTTGGGAAAATAAGTGTTTTTTTAAAGCCAAAAGCTGAGAAGTGCTTTTTTAAAAGTAGTTGCAAACCAACCCTAAGTTTTATAGTCACTATGATGTTACATTTGAATACAATTATAGTCACTAAGGTTATCAAGGTCACATTTTTGTCTACTACTTCTATCTTAGTTATATATTTGGAATTATTTCTTACTTTTATTTAAAAAAATATAAACATTGTACCTCTATTTTAAAAATTCAAAATGATTTTATCATATTTCAAAAAAAAAACCTCAAAAGAAGAAAAAAGAATGAAAAGAACTACTGGGCCTTTTATCATCGGCTAACAGTCCTTAGCCATATGGGGTGGTTTGGTATTCTACTTTTCAAAATTGATGTATGTTGTCTATTAGAGTTTATATGAAAACAATTAATCATAAAAGTTAGTGTTGGCTTATGGAAATAGCAGTACAATAAAATTCCAGTCGCTTTTTCAAAAGGGAAATGTGATTATTTATAGGAAAATCGGGTTTAGACCTTAAACCCAAAATGCTAGCTATTCAGAGAGTCACACATGCCCCTGAAACATTTGGACAACACACACGCTGATGTCATATTATCATGAGATGATGTAAGCCGAGGGAACACCAATGTGATTTCATTGATGATGTCAATCAACCCTTCAGTTCGAGTTTTTTCCTGGAATAATGCTAATTAAATAAATAATTCCCAGAATACTGTTGGGTTAAGAATAATTCCCGAATTACTGTTGGGTTAACCATGGTTAAGCAAAGCCGCCACTCCAAGTGGCGGCTCTTCATCTATCTTTACAAAAGCCGCCAGTCAGAGTGGCGGCTCTTCTATAGTAATACAAAAGCTGCCACTTCGAGTGGCGGCTCATTAATCCGTAGACATACCCCTTTCTTCCCAGGCGACGAACTAATCTGCCCTCTCCCTCTGCAGCTATCGACGAACGGCAACAGCACGAAGCAAGTGCTCCGATTCCGGCCAGATCAAAGGGAAAAGGCTCGTGGTGTACCCGAGGCTGTTTATACTCCATTCCAGCGACTTTCCACTGTTTGAATAGAGGTATTCTACCCTTTTTGCTAAACCAAGGTTTTTTAATTGGTTGTTCGAAATTACTTGTTTTTTTAATTAGTTTCTTTGTATTTCATGTTGTGAAATATATAACTTCTTAATCTTGTTATTATGATTGAATTTATATAATTTGTAAAATTTGAATGATACCAACTTTCAACTTTTTTGCTAAAGCTAGGTTTTTTAGTTATTGCTCCAAATTGCTTGAAATTGTTATTGTTTTGTTCAAAATTGCTGTTGATTTGCTTGAAGTTGTTGTTGTTTACTTGTTTATTAACGGATATTGATTTTCTTTAACTAATTAACTAATGCTAATTAATCATGTGTTAATTTGTTGCTTTTTCATTACACCACATTTTTTTCTGGTTAATTATTATGAGTCCTAATTTAATGGTATGAAATCGTAATATGTATCTACGATCTAATACTTTTCGTTTGAATTATAGTAATTGTAGTTGAATTTTCAAATAGCGGCATACGTCATACGTTTTTTGGAATGATTTTTCGTAGAATATGTCTAGAAACTTCTCCATTGTTTGTCAATGGGGATGAAATATTATCGAGGAGTCAAACGGAGTTCATTATGAAGGAGGGATTCGGAAGATAATTGTTGTTTCCCGTGGGGTGGATCTTGCTGAAATAATGAATAAAATTTATGCCGCCACATCCATCAATCGTATGAACAAGTTGGATTTGAAGGTTAAATATCCCATGCATGGTGGATCATACATGTTGATGCCTCTTGCTGACGACGAAGCCGTTACAGGAATGTGGACTGTAATCGAGAATCTTGATATGCATACCATGGAGATATATGTTGAAGAAGTGGCGGTGTTGCCCATACAATCTGGCCACCCGCCATTGTCTTGCCCATCCACAAGTGTTCCAGTTGTGATGAATATGGTTACACAGGAGAATGGAAGATATGTGAATAATGATGCAACGTTTCTGGATTCACAGTGCAATGACGATGATGCAGATGAAAATGTGAACCATGACACACTAAAAAATTCAGATGAAGATGGTGGTGATCTCGTAAGTGGCAATGCACCATCCAGCCACTACACTAAAGTTTATGAGCTCCACCATCCAGGATTTGATGAATCATGGAAGGGCTGTACAACTTCTAGCCGCTTCTGTGACACCGCACCCGAACGTCCTTGAAAATTCGATTTAAAAAAATTCAAAAGTGATGTATTGAATTTCCGATTTCAAAGCAATGGAAGAAACGATTAATATTTTACGAAGTACATGATTGAATATTGTATTGTTCAAACCCGCATTCTTTTGTAATTTTCATCATGTAAATTATTGGGATGAGCCTACACATATTGGAGATCAATAATGTGATTTAGGAAGTTGACTTGCTCTAAATAAATTGGAATGAGTACAAAAAAAAAGACATCTTTTGACAAAGATAAAACAATAGGACCCATCTTCCCATTTTTGGAAGTATTGGTAGATATTTTGGACCCCAAATTAAATGGGATCATTTGGGAACCATCCCACATGACCTTGGTACCTGCAAAGACAAAGAAAAATGGATGAGACAACTATGTGGGGCGGACTTTTGACTCATGAGCTACAACATTACAAAAAGGAAATAAAAGAGGAGGTCCATACCATGTTTGATTGCAATCAAATACCCCACCTTTCTTTTTGTGAACCACATGCTCTCTTAGCATGATTGAGGCCTTCCTAATACATTTCCCCTACACCCCATTCGAACTCCCAAGATAAGAGAGAAAGAGGGAGCCACATATTCCAAGGGAGAAGAGAAGAGAGAAGCTGGCCGCAGGATTCGTTTTCCAGCAGATAGGGTCTCTTGTTTGATCCATAACTTGAGCTTCACTCGTCCAAATAAGGCGTATGATATACCAAAAGAAAGCTCTCAAGACGAGGAATCTGTGAAGGCCTGGTTTGCAGGAATCGGAGTTGTGGAAGGCTTCCAAATCGTCCGAGAAAAACGCAACCTCGCAGGAGAGGATTTAATCTTCTAAAGTGAGTTTTAACCCCAAAGCTTTACTTTTCATTCTCCAAATGATATGAACGATTGGTGAGACTATTATACTCTAATCCAAGTGTATAATATGTCCTTATAAAGTTATTTTATTGATGTAAAGGTTAGATACTAACCTAGATGCAAATATTGGAAAACTAGGAATCGAGTTAGCCGGAAAACACCCGTTCTAGGGGCTGTTTTCGTATCAACGATTAAGGGTTGAACTAGCACTTTGAGGAGGCTGTTTAACACTCATATTTGAGCAAGGAATCAGTCCCAAATCCACCTTGACCAAAGATTTGACCATTGGACCAAGAAGGGAAAGTTTAAAGCTCAATTGAGGTGAGGATTGACATCTAATTGCTTACAACTTGTAGGTTAAGCATGAGATTACCTAAATGCTTAAATCATGATTTTTCATGGATTATGATGATTATAGATTGATGAAATATTGATATAGTTGCCAAAGAATGAAATTTGAAATGATTTGAGAGGGTATGAATAATATGAGATTAAATGAGTATAAAAGGACCATTTTGTGAAAATGGGTATTTTACTCATGTATGAATTATGTGGATACATAAATGAATATTTGTGTATTGAAATTGAATGCTTAAGTTGCTGCTACATAATTATAAATATGTAGAGAATTACAATAATGAGGATAGTGGTATGATACCAATAATCTTAATAGTATTGAAATACTAGTTAGTGATTATTGGAACTTGTTGATTTAGTTGATCCTAGGGATTGGATTGTATGAAAGGTACTTGAATATAGTTCAAGTGTATATGATACTTAGTATGGAACTAAGGTTAAGTTATGGGAAGTCTTTAAGGATGACCCATGGTAGTTTAATGATATGTCAATTCTAGGCATAGGGTTGCTTGAGAATTGGACCTTAATGCATGGTGATGTGATAGAGCCGAGCTCTAGAATGCATGTAAGGTGTAGACTTGGAGTCTATGTATTGTATAGCTAGAGCCGAGCTCTAGGACTTGCGTGGTGATGTGATAGAGCCGAGCTCTAGAACGCAAGGTAGGAAAATTGACCCGAGGTATATGAATTGTATGGTGATGTGGTAGAGCCGAGCTCTAGAATACAATGTCATGTACTAGGGTTGGACTCTAGGAGTTGTCGTGGCTTATAGTCACGGGGTTGGGAATGGTGATTTCCAAATGAACATGGGCCCACGGGCCGGCTACTTGACTTTTATATAAAGTAAGTATATTTTTTTAAACGGGGTAACTTAGGGTTACAATCATAATGTACTATCACCCTATTTGAGGGTCTTGTGTTTGAAATACTTGTTGTATATCTATTAGATGCCTGCCACACCAGCACTTTATAGCCGTATAGAGTGCTGACCCCTTCGGGGGCGTCCCACCACCATTTTTCAGGTTGAGGCTAGAGCTTGCTTCCTGTGCTCGTTGCTCGAGAGATCATCTAGGAGCGAAGACTTGGTTCGTGCTTCCTCCATTCGGATTTTAAACATTAATAAACATGCTCATGGATATTTTACTTTAGAGCCTGCGTGCTCATGTTTGCCCTGTGTGGCCCTTTTGTTTTAAACAATGTTTTCCGCTGCGTATTGAATTGTTTATTATGTATGTTTATGGATGACTTATGTGTGAATGATATTCATGACGCCTTGTATAATATGAATGTGTTGGACTGCGGTTGACTATTCGTATTGTACGGCGGGTTGTTGACGTGTCCGGGGAGGTCCGGGGCGTGACAATTAAGTTGGTATCAGAGCCTTAGTCCATAAACTTCATAATGAAGTCTCAAAATTCTCTTTTTGAAAAGATTTTGAAAACCATGAGCAAAGAAGTTTTGTACTTGGAGAGCTTTTGGTACTTGGGTTGCAAGGTCTCTAATTGTTAAGATGGTACCCTTAGCAATTGGTATGGCGGTGACTCGAGCCAAAATGTGTCTTAAGTACCTATCCGTCAATTGACATTTGATACGAGTCTAACGACTCTTTCCAAATTTCTTTCAGAAATGGACCGTGGTGGCAGGATTACTAGGAGAAACCCGACCGGCCGCGTACCAGTGGAGACTGGACAGGGCAGTCGAAGGACCTCTAGGGCATCTAGAGGAGCTGGCCGTGGAGGCCGATCACAGACCGTAAGTGACGGTCATGTGGACACAGAAAGTGAAACCTACTGGTCCTATGAGGACTCGACTTACCAACCGGAAACCGAGCCGGTTGAGACCCCTTACGAAGGGGATGACGATGATGTAAGTGATGAAGAGGGGGAGAATGACTCCCTAGCAAGAATTGAGGCGCTGCTCCAACAATATCAACGGGAGCGCGAGGAAAGGAGGCAACGCCGAAGACGCCGAGCGGGGCAACCTTCGGGCATGGCTTCGAGAGGAGGAAGTCATGGTGCATCTAGAGTCCATGTGGAACCACATGGAGGCCAAAGTAATGGAGGTCCAATCATAAGGATCTCCAAATACATCAAAGAGGCACGAGACTTGGGGTGCAAACCGTTCGATGGGACGGGTGACATCTCCGTTTCGGCACAATGGATTAAGCGGCTGAATGAGGCAGCCCTGGACATGCAACTCACCCCCGAATATAAACTAAGGGTTGCGGTGAGATTGCTTGAAGGTATGGCATCCAAGTGGTGGGATGGGACCAAAGGCAAATATGGCGAGACCGTCACTTGGGAGAATTTCCGACAGGAATTCTTTGCCCAATATTACTCGGATTTTGAGGTGAACAAGAAAGTGAGGGAATACACCCTTCTAACCCAAGGGGGTAACATGACGGTGAGGGAACTTGAGTACAAGTTCAGGGATCTTGCCGATTACATACCTGAGTATGCTTGTGACGAGAACCGGATGGTGAACCACTTCTGGGATGCTCTAGACTTGGAAATACGTGACAGGGCAACACAATTGCCTAACATGACGTTTGCCCAAGTGGTTGACCAAGGGTTGAAAGGAGAGAAGCAATGGGAAGAAAGGAAGAAGAGAGACGCCGAGGAGGCGAAAAAGAGAAAGTGGGAGAGTCATGGCTCCCAAGGTTCCAACAAAAAGGGGAACCACGGAGGAGGATCTTTCCGGGCACCACCGCCACCATATAGGGGGAACCAAGGCCCGAGTGGGCAAGGCGCGAGGTCACAAACCTCAGTGGTAGCTCGTTGCAACAATTGCAAGAAGAACCACTCCGGTAAATGTCGCGACCCCCCTAGATGTTTTCAATGCGGGGATGCCGGGCATTTGAAGGCACATTGCCCACAATTGAGTGGGGCAAGGACATCGGGACCGAGTAGCGGTCCGACGGGTACACGAAATCAAACGGGAGCTTCTCAAGCGAGCCGGGGACATGGGGGAGCGAGTACGAGCAACGCACCATCCGTGAATCAAGGAAGAACTCAAGCTAGAGTTTATGCGATGACGGAGGCGGATGCTCGAGCTAACCCGGACTCGGTTGCAGGTATTGCCCCTTGCACAATTGTATTTTGCCCATATTTAATCCATAAATTGATGACATAAGTCATAGGGATTGAGTGCGAGCCATTACGGGGTCAAACGGCGAATTTCGGGCCAAAACTGACCAAAAAAAAAAAAAAAGGGGACGCACGATCGTGCGTCCAACCCCACGCACGATCGTGCATAGGGGGCAGGGGCTCCGGGTGATTTTCGCGCAGGACGCACGACCGTGCGTGCCGGTACGCACGCCGTGCGTGGACGCACGATCGTGCGTGTCCGGGTACGCACGACCGTGCGTAACCGGCAGTAGCCGGAGGCGAGCCTTTTCATGCACGCACGACCGTGCGTGTCCCACGCACGACCGTGCGTGGACCCCAGCCGCCCGAAACCTAAGTTTTTCATCTCGTTCTTCTACGATTGGACCCCCGTTTGATTCCGAACATTTATATGAACCTATTAACCTCCAAAAAGTGTCCTAAACCATTAGAAAAGGTATCTTACATGGTGTATAAATGTAGGAACATTAAAGATTAATGGGAAGGATGCACGAATCCTTATCGATACCGGAGCGCAACGTTCGTTCGTGAGTGAGGCATTCGCCGAGGACTTAGGGGTACAATCAACACCAATGACGCACACATTAGTGGTATCGACACCACTAGGGGATGACGTTGAAAGAACTAGTTACTATCCATCTTGTGAGGTGGAAATTGATGGCCAAACCTTGACGTGTGATTTCGTACCGCTGAGTATGATGGAGTTCGATGCAATCCTAGGGATGGATTGGCTAGAAAAGCATCATGCTAGGGTAGATTGCTACACGAAGGTTTTGGAACTCGAAGGCAATAATGGGGACACCCTACGCTTCGAGGGGGATCGAGGCAAATCAAACAGTTGTATTATCTCCGCCGTGAGAGCGAGAAGTATGATGAGAAAGGGATGCCACGCATATCTAGCATACGTGGTTGACAAAACCAAGGAGGAAACGAACATTGACGACGTGAGGGTGGTTTGTAAGTACCCGGATGTCTTCCCTAAAGACCTACCGGGGCTTCCACCTGATAGGGAGATTGAATTTGTGATCGAGGTCGAGCCTGGTACCAAACCAATCTCCATACCGCCATACCGTATGGCACCCGCTGAACTTAACGAGTTGAAAACCCAATTGCAAGAGCTTTTGGATAACGGTTTCATTAGACCAAGCCACTCCCCGTGGGGAGCACCAGTTCTTTTTGTGAAAAAGAAAGATGGGACACTTCGAATGTGTATTGACTATCGTCAACTGAACAAGGTCACAATCAAGAATAGGTATCCTTTGCCTAGAATTGATGACTTGTTTGACCAACTACGAGGGGCAACCGTGTTCTCGAAGATTGACTTGAGGTCGGGGTACCATCAATTGAAGATTAAGGAAGATGACATACCAAAGAGTGCTTTCCGCACAAGGTATGGGCATTTTGAGTTCCTTGTTATGTCGTTTGGGCTAACAAACGCCCCGGCGGCATTCATGGACTTGATGAACCGAGTATTTCATAAATACTTGGACCGATTCGTGATTGTGTTCATAGATGACATCTTGATTTACTCAAAGAGTGAAGAAGAGCATGAAGAGCACTTGATACTTGTTCTTGAGACACTACGGGAGAAGCAACTTTATGCCAAATTTTCTAAATGTGAATTTTGGCTAAAGGAAATCGGCTTTCTCGGGCACGTGGTTTCGGGATCGGGAATTGTTGTTGATAACAAGAAGATAGAAGCCATTACTGAATGGGAGAGGCCAAAGAACGTCAAGGAAATTCGTAGTTTCCTTGGATTGGCAGGCTACTACAGAAAGTTCGTGGAGAAGTTCTCTGTTTTGGCATCGCCATTGACGAAGCTCACCCGTAAAGGAGCTAAGTTTGTATGGGATGACAAATGTGAGAAAGGGTTCATGGAACTAAAGAAGAGATTGACTGAGGCACCGGTACTTGCATTACCCAAACAAGGTGTGGGGTACGATGTCTATAGCGATGCGAGCATCCAAGGGCTTGGATGTGTACTGATGCAGAATGGGAGGGTAATCGCCTATGCTTCACGACAATTGAAGAAGCATGAGGTGAATTATCCTACTCACGATTTGGAGCTGGGGGCAGTGGTGTTTGTACTGAAAATATGGAGACATTATCTCTACGGGGAGACATGTCACATATACACTGATCACAAGAGCTTGAAGTACGTGTTTACTCAGAAAGAGCTAAACATGAGACAGAGACGGTGGATGGAGCTGATCAAAGACTACCATCTAGTGATAGAGTATCACCCAGGCAAGGCGAACGTGGTGGCAGATGCTTTGAGCCGGAAGAGCTCGTCTGGGGCATTGCTAGCTAATTTGAGGGCATTAAGAGCCCAACTGGAGGTATCCAGCGATGGTGCCTTATTGGCACGATTCGAGGTGAGACCTACTTTACTTGATGAGATCAAGAAGGGTCAGGAAACCGACGAAGAAATTATGAAGATCCGGGAGCGCATGCAAGCGGGACCGGTGGAGGACTTCAGGGAAAGAGATGATGGTCTCTTGTTATTTCGTGACCGAGTGTGTGTACCGTCAGATGATGAGCTCCGAAAGTCCATCTTAGAGGAGGCTCATTCATCGGCTTATGCCATGCACCCTGGGGGCACGAAAATGTACCGTGATTTGAAAGAAAGTTACTGGTGGTCTGGAATGAAGAGGGAGATAGCCGAGTACATCAGTCGATGCCTTACTTGTCAACAAGTTAAGGCAGAACACCAGCATCCGGCAGGCTTGTTACAACCACTTTCCATTCCTGAATGGAAGTGGGAACATGTGACAATGGATTTCGTGGTAGGTTTACCACGGACAATTCGGAACTATGATGCAGTTTGGGTTGTTGTGGATAGGCTCACGAAGAGTGCACACTTCTTGCCTATCAACACTACCTACCCACTTGAGAGGTTAGCCAAATTGTATACGGATGAGATCGTGAGGCTGCATGGGGTCCCAGTGACCATTGTATCTGATAGAGACCCACGATTCACATCACGTTTTTGGCCGAAATTTCAGGAGTCTATGGGAACGAGGCTGAAGTTCAGTACTGCTTTCCACCCACAGACGGATGGGCAGTCTGAAAGAGTCATACAGATCTTAGAAGACATGCTGAGGGCTTGTGCATTGGAGTTTCAAGGAAGTTGGGACAACCACTTAGCACTCGTGGAGTTTGCCTATAACAACAGTTATCAGGCAAGCATCGGCATGCCTCCATACGAGGCATTGTATGGGAGGAGGTGCCGTACACCGTTATGCTGGGACGAGGTTGGCATGGCCAAACTCGAGGGTACTGAGTTGGTGGAGGTCACCAAATCAAAGGTGAAGTTGATTCGAGAGAGACTCAAGGCGGCTCAGGATAGACAAAAGAGTTATGCAGATAAGCGTCGAAGAACCTTAGAGTTTAAGGTTGATGACGAGGTATTCTTGAAAGTTTCTCCTTGGAAAGGGATCATTCGGTTCCAAACCCGAGGAAAACTTAACCCACGATATATAGGTCCATTCAGAATTATAGAGAGGATTGGGGCCGTTGCATATCGTCTACAATTGACTCCTGAGTTAGAGAAGATACATAATGTGTTTCATGTATCCATGCTTAAGAAGTACGTGCATGATCCCTCTCACGTATTGGAGAAGCCACCTGTAGAGGTACGTGAGGATTTGAACTACGCTGTTCAACCTATCAAAGTCACCGATAGAAAGGTGAAGAAGCTGAGGAGCAAAGAAGTCCCAATGGTTAAAGTCCTGTGGAAGAGCGATCGGGTCGAGGAAGAGACATGGGAAACGGAGGCTTTGATGAGGAAGCAGTATGCTTTCCTATTCGAGTAGAGCTGTGAATTTCGGGGACGAAATTCCTGTTAAGGGGGGGTGAACTTGTGACACCGCACCCGAACGTCCTTGAAAATTCGATTTAAAAAAATTCAAAAGTGATGTATTGAATTTCCGATTTCAAAGCAATGGAAGAAACGATTAATATTTTACGAAGTACATGATTGAATATTGTATTGTTCAAACCCGCATTCTTTTGTAATTTTCATCATGTAAATTATTGGGATGAGCCTACACATATTGGAGATCAATAATGTGATTTAGGAAGTTGACTTGCTCTAAATAAATTGGAATGAGTACAAAAAAAAAGACATCTTTTGACAAAGATAAAACAATAGGACCCATCTTCCCATTTTTGGAAGTATTGGTAGATATTTTGGACCCCAAATTAAATGGGATCATTTGGGAACCATCCCACATGACCTTGGTACCTGCAAAGACAAAGAAAAATGGATGAGACAACTATGTGGGGCGGACTTTTGACTCATGAGCTACAACATTACAAAAAGGAAATAAAAGAGGAGGTCCATACCATGTTTGATTGCAATCAAATACCCCACCTTTCTTTTTGTGAACCACATGCTCTCTTAGCATGATTGAGGCCTTCCTAATACATTTCCCCTACACCCCATTCGAACTCCCAAGATAAGAGAGAAAGAGGGAGCCACATATTCCAAGGGAGAAGAGAAGAGAGAAGCTGGCCGCAGGATTCGTTTTCCAGCAGATAGGGTCTCTTGTTTGATCCATAACTTGAGCTTCACTCGTCCAAATAAGGCGTATGATATACCAAAAGAAAGCTCTCAAGACGAGGAATCTGTGAAGGCCTGGTTTGCAGGAATCGGAGTTGTGGAAGGCTTCCAAATCGTCCGAGAAAAACGCAACCTCGCAGGAGAGGATTTAATCTTCTAAAGTGAGTTTTAACCCCAAAGCTTTACTTTTCATTCTCCAAATGATATGAACGATTGGTGAGACTATTATACTCTAATCCAAGTGTATAATATGTCCTTATAAAGTTATTTTATTGATGTAAAGGTTAGATACTAACCTAGATGCAAATATTGGAAAACTAGGAATCGAGTTAGCCGGAAAACACCCGTTCTAGGGGCTGTTTTCGTATCAACGATTAAGGGTTGAACTAGCACTTTGAGGAGGCTGTTTAACACTCATATTTGAGCAAGGAATCAGTCCCAAATCCACCTTGACCAAAGATTTGACCATTGGACCAAGAAGGGAAAGTTTAAAGCTCAATTGAGGTGAGGATTGACATCTAATTGCTTACAACTTGTAGGTTAAGCATGAGATTACCTAAATGCTTAAATCATGATTTTTCATGGATTATGATGATTATAGATTGATGAAATATTGATATAGTTGCCAAAGAATGAAATTTGAAATGATTTGAGAGGGTATGAATAATATGAGATTAAATGAGTATAAAAGGACCATTTTGTGAAAATGGGTATTTTACTCATGTATGAATTATGTGGATACATAAATGAATATTTGTGTATTGAAATTGAATGCTTAAGTTGCTGCTACATAATTATAAATATGTAGAGAATTACAATAATGAGGATAGTGGTATGATACCAATAATCTTAATAGTATTGAAATACTAGTTAGTGATTATTGGAACTTGTTGATTTAGTTGATCCTAGGGATTGGATTGTATGAAAGGTACTTGAATATAGTTCAAGTGTATATGATACTTAGTATGGAACTAAGGTTAAGTTATGGGAAGTCTTTAAGGATGACCCATGGTAGTTTAATGATATGTCAATTCTAGGCATAGGGTTGCTTGAGAATTGGACCTTAATGCATGGTGATGTGATAGAGCCGAGCTCTAGAATGCATGTAAGGTGTAGACTTGGAGTCTATGTATTGTATAGCTAGAGCCGAGCTCTAGGACTTGCGTGGTGATGTGATAGAGCCGAGCTCTAGAACGCAAGGTAGGAAAATTGACCCGAGGTATATGAATTGTATGGTGATGTGGTAGAGCCGAGCTCTAGAATACAATGTCATGTACTAGGGTTGGACTCTAGGAGTTGTCGTGGCTTATAGTCACGGGGTTGGGAATGGTGATTTCCAAATGAACATGGGCCCACGGGCCGGCTACTTGACTTTTATATAAAGTAAGTATATTTTTTTAAACGGGGTAACTTAGGGTTACAATCATAATGTACTATCACCCTATTTGAGGGTCTTGTGTTTGAAATACTTGTTGTATATCTATTAGATGCCTGCCACACCAGCACTTTATAGCCGTATAGAGTGCTGACCCCTTCGGGGGCGTCCCACCACCATTTTTCAGGTTGAGGCTAGAGCTTGCTTCCTGTGCTCGTTGCTCGAGAGATCATCTAGGAGCGAAGACTTGGTTCGTGCTTCCTCCATTCGGATTTTAAACATTAATAAACATGCTCATGGATATTTTACTTTAGAGCCTGCGTGCTCATGTTTGCCCTGTGTGGCCCTTTTGTTTTAAACAATGTTTTCCGCTGCGTATTGAATTGTTTATTATGTATGTTTATGGATGACTTATGTGTGAATGATATTCATGACGCCTTGTATAATATGAATGTGTTGGACTGCGGTTGACTATTCGTATTGTACGGCGGGTTGTTGACGTGTCCGGGGAGGTCCGGGGCGTGACAGCTTCTCTGCAGATGGTGAATTCGAGGTTGGGCAAGAGTTTGATGATAAGAAACTACTGATCAACATGGTTAGAGCGTACTCTGTAAAGAGGAACCAATTTTTCTCAGTTGTAGAGTCTGACAAACACAAATGGGTGGCAGAGTGTAAGAGGAGAAAAGATCGAATGTGGCCGCACTTGGCGGATCCGGGCTACTAAGAAACATGAGAAGCTAGAGATGTTCAAAGTTGTTTGTTATGCAAGTCCTCATATACCTACTTGTGTAGGTAACATCGATAACAATGACCATGCTGGTATCACAACTCAGTTCATAGCCCGTGAAATTATTGATCTTCTTCGTACCGATCCATCACTAAAAGTCCGCACTATTAGTCACCTTATGAAGGAAAGGTACGGCTATATACCTTCGTACAAGCGAAGTTGGTTGGCTAAGCAAAAAGCTATCGGCGAAATATTTGGAGATTGGGAGGCCTCGTATTCTGAATTGCCTCATTTCATGTTGGCATTACAACATTCCAATCCAGGGACAGTCGTGCATTGGTACCCACCTCTTTCAGGTACCAATGAGTTATTAATATCATTATTATATCATATTAAATTTCATTTTGAATTCATCCTCCTAATTTTCTCCATCTTCAGGTACCACTGATGTTCAGCAATTTCAAAGAGTTTTTTGGTCATTTAAGCCATCCATTAAGGGCTTTAAACATTGTCGTCCGTTACTGACCATCGATGGAACACACTTATATGGGAAGTATACAGGTACGATGTTGGTGGCAATGGGTAGTGATGCTAACAATCAACTGTTCCCTTTGGCGTTTGCTATCTGTGAATCAGAGAATAGAGAAAGTTGGTCGTGGTTTATGGCGTGCATACGCCATTCAATCACACGCAGAGAATTGTGTGTTATTTCAGATCGACATGTTGGAATTATGAAGGCATTTAATGAGGTAGGGAGTGGATGAGAGGAGCCAGATGCACGACACAGGCTTTGCATACGGCATGTCGCTTCTAATCTGCATACTCAATTTAAAGACATTCACTTGAAGAATCTGTTCGTTTGGACAGCCAGTCAACGTCAAAAGAAGAAATTTGATGGTGGATTCAACAAGATAGGCGAAATGCATGCACAGGCACGAGAATATCTAGCGAACATTGGCTTGGAGAAGTGGTCTTTACACCACGACGGGGGATACAGGTATGGCACCTCAACAACGAACATGGCTGAAGTTTTCAATAGCGTCATGAAAAGTGCACGATACATGCCTGTAACCGCCTTAGTTGAGTTATCATTCTATCGTGTGAATGCCTATTTTGTGGAAAGAAGAGAAACTAGTAAGAGAAGATTAGCAGAAGGGCATCGCTACTGCCAGCAAGTGACCGAACTGATTGAGAAAAATACGGAAAAAGCAAAGCATCACAAGGTCACAATATTTGACATAGGCCGTGGTTTATACCAAATGGAGACGGGTCGTGGTGGTCGAACCGTGGGGAAGGGTGGTAAAAAACAAACGGTGAATTTGCACCGTCGCCATTGCACATGTCAGAAGCTGAATATTTATAAGATTCCTTGCTCACATATATTAGCGGTATGCAGAGACCGTAGTTTGTCCTATGATCCATTTGCAGATATATATTTTTCATCATCGGAGTATGTTGCTTCCTATAAAAGAGTATTTAAGCCCATACCAGATATAATGTATCGACCTACTTACACTGGCCCACGAGTTGTGCATGACCCGTCGATGATTCGCGCTAAAGGTCGTCTGAAGGCTAAACGATTGAGAAATAAAATGGATGAAGGCCCTACAGGTACTGTGAGATGCAGTAAATGCAAGCAAACAGGGCATAACAGGACGACATGTGCTAGAAGATCGGAGGGACACGTAGGGAGTTCCACTGGGTAATGTTGTTCTTTTATTCACAAATGCATTAGCAATATTAAAAAATAAATAAATTTAATTTAATAATAAAATAAAATAACTAATACACTTATTACTTTTACAACACCGATGCAGGTGTCAGTGGATCCCGGACCGATTGATCCTTCAGTCCTGACATTGCAGGCCACGCACCGGAACGAGGATGTGTGGCGTGGCCTGGATGTTCAGGTAGATAGGTGTCGTGAGCACCTACGCAGTATATTCCACACGGGGGTGGACGATAGGATTCTACATTACGTTCGATTAGCTGGGTTTTATGGTGTTCACAGATTAGTTTCGACTCTGCATATAGATAGAGCATTACTTACCGCTCTACTTGAGCGTTGGAGGCAGGAGACTCACACATTCCATTTACCGGTGGGTGAGGTCACGATCACATTACGAGATGTGGCTGTATTGGCAGGTCTACCGATCGAGGGTCGGGCGAGTACTGGGACTGCATGTAGACTGCGGGTTGATTTGGTACACAGATTGTTGGGAGTATGGCCACACCTTGGGACAGATATTTGGGGGTCCGCCTTGAGGATGGCTTGGTTGAGAGAGCATTTTGTTGGTTTACCTGCTCATGTTGATGACTATGTTGTGCAGTAGTACGCGAGAGCCTACATTCTAATGCTTATGGGAGCTTCCACGTTTGCGGACAAGAGCGGGAATGAGGTGCAGGTCTTGTATTTACCCATTCTGGAGTCTTTTGATGTAGCTGCAGTTTATAGCTGGGGTAGTGCGACTTTAGCATACCTATATCGGCAGTTATGTCGAGGTTGCCATCGTGACGGTGGAGAAATGTGTGGGTTTTTATTGCTCATACAGCTATGGTCATGGGAGCACATTCATATCGGCAGACCTGTCATACTGCGATATCATGGGGTAGATGGTGGTCCTCTTGATGATGATATGGATCAGCACGCTGTACTTGAGCCACATCATGTTCGTGGCGAGTATCCTTTGGGTCGTAGGTATGTTTATGATTTTTTTTGTATGACGTATGTGAATCCCTTTTATATTCTTATACATTACTGTGTGTCAGATGGCTATTTGCTCATGTCACGCGCACGTCATCTGCTGCTGGATTAGGACACTACCGAGATGCTTTAGATCACTTATGTGATGATCAGGTATATCATTTATATCATTAAATGTAAGTACTTTGTTTTATGTTTTTTATAAACCATGGTCTAACATAATTTTATATTATAGATGACGTGGATGCCGTACACTGATGAGATTCTAGGGCTGTTGCCTCCTGTTGCCCGAGAGCACACTGAGATATGGCGAGCACGTGTGTCCTTGATATGTTTTAATGTAGTGGAGCATCACTTTCCTGATCGCGTACTACGCCAGTTCGGGTTGCAGCAGGTTACTCCCGGACCTTGTGATACATCTGTGGATTTGCACAAAATTGATAGACGGGGGAAGCACACTGAAGATTGGGGGATGCGCCATATTCAGTATATCACTGTGTGGGATGAGAGAGCGGCGTATATAGTGGACGGGATCCCGTCATTAGTCCCCACGGCTTCAGTAGACCACATGAGATGGTATTACACCATCACACGGGTGTTTATCTCTCCCAGTTTTCGTTTACCCACTGATCATTACCAGCCTAGCTCAGTCGCTCTTCATATGACGGTAAACAATATAGTTAATGAAATATCTTTATTTATTTATTCATGTGTTTTTCTCTAATAACCATGTTTGCATTACAGACACGGGCTTTGCGTAACATCCTTGACAGAGCGACTGCTATACTTGATGAGGTGGTAGATGTACAGGGATACCATGACGCTTATTCAGGCATTGTTTCACTGTGCGCTGATGTATTGGGTCGAGTGGATTATGGATATATGGCCACCTCTCAGCATTCCACCGCATCTACATCCGCAGCAGGGTCTTCTCAGGCAGTCCGACGTGATAGAGTTGTTCTTCAACCTCGTAACCAGCGCAGGCGTCCCCGAGCATAGCCACATGAACTTCATGATGATGATGATCACGTTGACTTATGATCTTTGTATTTAAATTATTGTGTGAAAGTTGTAGCATGCACTGGCAGATCAAATCATTTTGTGAAACACCAGATTTATTATAACTTTTATGGTTTATACTCAATTTTGTGGTGCATTGATTCATTTTGTGAAAGTTTCATAATATGTAGTTTCATTGATTTGTTTTGTATTTGGGATGTATGTTGTCATGTAGTTTCATTGATTCGTTTTGTGTTTCGGGTGTATTTTGTCTTAGTAAATCATATGTTTGGTTATTTTTTTGAGTGGAATGGACTGTGAGTCTGTGATGAGCAGATTTTCTGGTAATTACAGGTTTAGTTGTGTAAATAATGTTGCAGCAGGTTCGTTAACACAAGAGCCGCCACTTGGAGTGGCGGCTTTCATACAGAAGCAGAAGAGCCGCCACTTTAAGTGGCGGCTTTTGTGAAGCTGTACAAAAGACGCTACTCTGAGTTGCGGCTTTGCTTAACCGTGGTTAACCCCAACAATATTTCGGGAATTATTCTTAACCCGACAGTATTTTGGGATTTATTTATTTATTTTGGGAATTAGTCCCTTTATTTAATTAGCATTATTCCGGAAAAAAACTCCTTCAGTTCTGGGTCTGTGATGTCAGCGTCCATGATGCATTTAACCCGACAACGTCCATGATGCATTTAGACTCTGAATATAGATGTCTGGAAATGCCAAGAAAACGGTGAAGTATTAAATCATATTCAAGCCGAGGTTGATGAGGTCTGTCCGCTCCTCATCTAGGATCGTACGTAACTTGAGAATGTATCCACGGGTCCTTTACCATGCAAAGCCAAGGTTGTTCCCACACAAAATATTTCCCCTACCTGTTCCAATGCTCCACTGGTAACCTTTCTTCAGCAATATATGCTCAGGCCGACCGGATACTAACTTCATACTACGCCAAATATAAATGGGTTATGGTCAAGGCCTGCCCCTATTATTTAGTTCCCAACCTAACTTCTCAAGCAACATGAGGTTGAAATCATAGAGATGTCTAACGGCCTGTTTGGATTGAGTGTTGAGGAGTGTTAGTAATGGAAGTGTTAGTAAGTGTTGATGCTAACACTTGTTTGGGAGAAAAAACCAGAGGTGTTAAGAAGTGTTAGTAATGGTTAGGAAGTGTTAATAATAACCTTCCAAACACCTCAATTGTCCATTTTTTTAACACCCCGATTTGGAGTGTTTTGAGGTGTTGGACAATTATTACCCTTCTCATTTGCCCGAAAAACATAAAATGCTTCGACATTTCACTTCGAATGTCTTTCCCACGGGTCTGATGGTTTGTTTTTTCATCTCTTCTCTTTACTCTTTCTTTACTCTTTCTTTAACACTTCCATTATTAACACTCATTCATTTAACTCTCCCAAACAAGGTAAAATTATGTTCAACACTTACACTTCCCTTCCCTTCCCTTCCGAGCCTTTACTAACACTTACTAACACTTCCATTACTAACACTTCCAAACACTCCATCCAAACTAAGCCCTAAAACTCATACCACCACCATGCTTTATGACATTTAACTTATCGCAACAAAATCAATTTACACTGCATCCTTGCTTGAACCCCGCCGCCGTAATTAAGGAAATTCATCATTCTCTCAATTTCTTCTTGATAGGTCACAAGTAACAGGAGCACTGCAAGCAACAAACAACTTTAAACCGGACGGGATATGTGACTATCAGACTATATAAATGGGCGGTTAATGGGATTGGAGGGCCCTTAGGATTATGAATTCAACCTTTTGGATGAATGAATAATTGAGCGGTTGAAGTTGGCGAACTTGCTATATCACTATAAAAAGTAAATAAAATAAAGAAATTTTATACATTTGTAATTTAATAATTTATATACAAATAAATGATAAAATCAAATTTTGAAACAATCAAACACATGATACCTTGTTTTTTAGAGGGCCCCATAGCATTTTTCTAAAATAAAACCTTACTCTCTATGACGGAGCATTAGTTAAAAAAATTTATGAATTGCTCATAGATATCTCAGTCTATAACTACTCATTAATACACACAATTTGGATTAAATGAGAAAATGATATAAGGAGAGAAATGATAATGAATTCGGAGCGTTATATTTGAGAAAGTGCATTATGTGAAACCGAAATGTACACTATCGTCTATCAATTCTATCGTGAACTGGAAAATGCAATGACATTTTTGTAAATCAGTTCAACTTTTTATGCTTATTTGAACTATGCACGATTTTAACCATAAATGTGCACCTCAATGAACCATAATGGGCCAAATAAATTACCACTTTGGTAAAAAAAAAACAGGGTGCCTTACCAGATTGGTAAAAAAAATCATCTGAGACAAATTGGGAAAAAAAAAGTCTCAGTCACAAATTGGTCAATTTTTTGAGTTAGACACTTTCATTCCCCGATTTTAGAATTCCCGACATTTCATATTTTAAGTATTGTGAAATTTACATTTTCGGTCCTTCTACTTTTATTTTGTCATCAAAATGAAAGGATTAAAAATGTCAACGGCCGTGTTTGATAATAGTAGTTGTCTGTTAACTAATAGGTGGTTGAATCAGCAATTTGATACTAGTTGATTCTGTTAGCTTTTTTTAACTAACCGCTTTCATTAACGATTTGAAATAAAATGTTAGTAACTTAGTTGTTTGCAATTAGCTTTTAAGATGTAAAATGATCATTAAGGATGTGAATTTAAAAGTTTATATATTTAATTAAAAAAACTTTTATTTTTAGTAAGTCTTGGAAATTTTTTTAAAAATTATATTTACATTTATTTTAAATGACCACTAACACTATCATTTTTAACACATGTATATTAATGCGACACACACATATAAATTCAAATATTTTTAGCATTAATATTTTAAATATGACTATTTATTAAACTTTTTAAAAAATCTACTCGATTTTGTTAACTTTTTTAACTAATCACTTTCATTAGCGGTTTGAAGCAAAATGTTAATAACTTAACTATTTGCGATTAAATGTTAAGACATAAAATGACCATTAAGGATATGAATGTAGAAGTATATATATTTAACTTAACTTTATTTTTTTAGTTTTAATAAGTCTTGGAAAAATGATAGTGTTAGTAGTTATTTAAACTAAACGAAAATAAAAAATTTAAAACTTTTTTCAAGACAAAACCGTAGTGATTATTTTACATCTTAAAAACTAATTACTAACAACTAAATTACTAACAATTTATTTCAAACCACTAATGAAAGCGGTTAGTAAAAAAACTAACGGAATCTGTTGACATTATTTGACCTCCCCTTTTGATAGCAAAATCAAAGTAGAACCGAAAATGTCAATTTCACAATACTTAAAATATGAAATGTCGGGAATTCTAAAATCGAGGAACAAAAGTGTCCCCAACTCAAAAAATTGACCAATTCGTCACTGAGGCTTTTTTTAATCAATGTCTCAGATGGTTTTTTTTACCAATCTAATAAGACGCCCTCTTTTTTTTTTTACCAAATGTGCATCATTTCCGATGTTTCTCATTTCTCACAGGAAAAAGTCTTATCACCGGAGTGCCAAAGTTTTTGGTACAATAAGAAAATATGACAAAATTAAAATGGATAGAGGGAGTATAAAGTTTTTCAATGATGAACAATAAAAAGAGTTAGTTATTACGGAGTATTAATTAAGATGTATGTGCAAGTGTGCAACCAATATATAGAACACGTCTTGCTAATTGGATTGTTTTTTGTTTTCAATAAAAGGGTAGCCCGTGCAGGCGTGCATGAAGCCATTGTGCAAGACAAGGGTTCACGGAAGGGTCTCACCAAGAGATCACCACAAAGTCGTATAAGGGGCAGGCTTTCCCAGTCAAATTTTTACAAGTCTTCTTTCAAATTGAAATCCGTGATCTCTCAATCACATGTAAATAGTATACGTGAAATACCACCGCACGTGAAATAAATATATAGTAGTACTATCGTATTGACTATTACACCATATTGGTTTTTTCAATGTAAACATAGACATGATTATGACATTTAACGCCCATTTGGTGAGCCAATATTTTTCACCAAACACATAATTTTTATTTTCTCGCGTTAAATTGTGTAATAATCAAAATAAATAAAGTTGAAGTCACTTTTATAACTACATTGACTGAAATTACTGTATAAGACCATTTTGACTATTTTTCATACAACTTTATGATTATTAACCATTTTAATAATAAAATATTACATAATCGCATGTTTCAATTTTTTTTCTTCATATTTTAACATATTCAACCTCTTCAACCAAAACTTTACCAATTTCATTAAAACCAACCAATTCAACTATTCCAATTTTATCAAGCAGGGTCTTAAATTTGATTATGAAAACTAGTTAGCATATGAAGATTCTTTCTATATAGGGAATTTAGGTAGACACTAGAGGCAGTTTATTAGTGCATTTGCTTCTAAAATGGCAATACTAATTTCAGTTCATTTTCTAAATTACATGTATCATTTGGATATGTGTTGCTTCTTTCTGTTAGCATATGTGTTGCTTCTTTCTGCCCTAAAGAGTTGACAATTATACGTCTCAATCAGAAACCCTATGGGGCATTTTTCTGGATTGAACTTCAGGTACCTGTAACCACCTCTGATGCATCATAGCATAAGTATGAAAAGAAACTAAATTCAAACAATACAAGCAATGAAAGCATCAACATATAAGTTGCTAAATGGAATCTAACCCAATAAATAATGCGTTCCAAAATTGCAAGGGTGCTCTTCCCATAGTCTACACTTCCATTTTTTAGAAAAAGCATGACAGACTTGACTAGAAGAGGGTTAGGATGAGCATATCTCTCTTACATTATTACCACCTCCTGGAAGTTCAGTGGAAGAGGGAGGTTCTGCGTCAACTGCTGATGATAGAGCAACCGGTTCGGCTATTGACTCTCTCATCTTCCGCTTCTTCTCATCCGAGTTTTTCTTATTTTTAGTGCGATCAGCACATGAGACGATTTTGGAAACTGAAAACCCCGCTACTTCAAAATCACGTGATCTGGAGGGAAGTAAAGAGTTGCGAACAACAACATCAATGCCATCATACGTCCAGACACCTAACCGAGCTTCTCCTTTAAGTCCAATGGC